GAGGGCTCTGCGAGTGCCGCGGGACCCCCGGCGGGCCCCCCGGGAGCACGCGCTCCCGCCGGGAGGAACGGGCTCTGGGACCGCGCGCCGCCCCCTCCCCTGACCCTAGCGCCCCGGTGACCCCAGCGCCGGGCGTGGGTGGGGGCGAGCACCGGTGGTCCCTGGAAGCCCCGACCGACCCCGGCGGGGCTCCCGTTGTAAACGGTTCTCACCACTCGGGTCTGGGGACCGCAGCACCTGGTGCGGGCGTGAGCGGGGCACGAGTTATCACCATCAGGTGCGCGGTCTGGGGCATCTCTCTCCCGGGGGTCCGCGGATCCCCGCATACTGCCGGCAGCCTGGGATACCGGCCCCCCTTCCCCTCTCCCCTCATTGCATTTGGGACACTTAATAGCCTCTCATAATCTCGTCCTTCGCTTTTCCTTCCTTCCTATCCGTCCACGGCTGTGTCGACCTGCTGTATTTCCATTGTGGAATTTTTTTTTTTTTTTGGTCTGTTAACTTACGTAAGTCAGGTTGTCTGACCAACCATTGCAGCCATTGAAAAACACTTCTCCGAGCCCTCAGCGAAGCCAGCCCTTGTAGCGTCCCCCACATCCAGCCCAAGGATTCAGGGGGCCGCCAGTCCTTCCCAAGAGCTGACTGCACACATTCCTGCCGGATGCCTGATGGATTTTGTGCTCGTCAGTTTTACTGGCTCTATGCTCCTTCTGTGCTTTTCCTGAAAAGGGCTCGGGTGGCATGTGTTTTGACTTTCTCTCCCTCACCGGGAAATAGAAAAAAATAAATGGGTTACAGAAGCACACTTGTTTTCAACAACCAGAAAGTACAGCCTTTCCAACAAAACACCAAGGGTGTGTTCTCCACGTGAGGGGTGGTCTTTGGTCTTCACCCGGTCCCAGGATTCCTGTGTTCGTGTCTTCATCTCGTGCGCTCCAGCACTTAGGATTTGCGTGTGTATGTTTTCCCAGCTTATTTATGTTCAGGGCGTCATAGTCAGATCTGAGAATAATGGGGCTGTCAACCTTTCATTTATTAGCTACAGATAGGTACGAGGTTGCAGATTTGTGGGAGCCTTTATTTCGCACTTAATGACTGTAGTCTGGGTCTTCTATTTCGAGATGATGTGCGAGGTGATGCCGACCATCAGTGAAGCAGAAGGCCCCCCGGGAGGAAGTGGGAGCCATGGGTCCAGCTCCCCTTCGCAGCCAGATGCAGATTCACATTTCGAACAGTTGATGGTCTCCATGCTGGAGGAGAGGGACCGTCTTCTTGACACGCTGAGAGAGACTCAAGAAACGCTGGCATTAACCCAGGGGAAATTACACGAGGTCGGCCATGAAAGAGATTCCTTGCAGAGGCAGCTCAATACTGCACTTCCACAGGTATGGATGCTTTCCACCTGCAGTGTTACAGACTTTTCCCCACTAAATGTTTTTTTATACTCTTATTTTCTATGGTGTTGATGTTTTTAGAGGAGTATTTTGTGCAGTCATTTATGAAATGGTTCTGGTATTTGTAAGTCACGTATACGTGAAGTTCCTGAAGATGAAGCTTCTCGGAGAACAAACTGTGGCCCTCTAGAGTCATGTGAAAGCACCTCGTAACTCTTCCTTTCTTTCTCCGGCCCGGCAGAGGAGCTGCCTGGACTGGGGGTGGTGCTCCAAAGTGTTTGAGAAAGGGCCGTGGAGCAGCCAAGCTACGTGGTGCCTTTCGACCTGTTGTCTTAAGACATTTCTTGCTAAACGTGTATTTCTCAGGGATTGCATCATGTATTTCCAGTTTCCTAATGAAATTTAATGAATAGATAGCACGGATTTCACAGGAAAAATATTTTCACAGCCCATTTTTATCAGAACACCTGTGTTTTACACGTCAAATTTCTTTGAGGGAATAGAAGACTGGAGATGGAATCCTTTGGAACTTTTCTCCTTGGCAGATGAGAATTATAAGGCTTAGAATCACACTGACGTTGTTAATCTAAGTCTATTGCATTTGGACTAATGTTTCAAAGCCTTTTCTTACGGAGCGGAGTGAGGATTTAATGACAGGTGAAGGGAGACAGTATGAGCTGGAAGGTAAAGGAAATGGCACAGAGCATAGTAGGAGATGTGAAGGTTACTTCGGTGTTTATGAGCTGTCTAGGTGCCATTTTACTTATTCATAATAGGTGCCTTTATGGTGCTTTCAGGTAGATGAAAAAGCATGCATTTATACTCTCATGACGGGTCTGCAGTGGTAAATTAGGAAATGAATAATTACTAGCCTTAATGCGTTTCTTGGCTTTAGTCAGTTCTCCTGAAAGATTGATAAGCCAAACATTTGGATTTCCTTTTTAGCAACAATAATTGGGTATTAGTGCTAAAACGTTCCCCTTTTTTTGATTAGAGAATCACTAAGATTTTTTTCATTTGAATCTTCTAAATTACCAAGTTTGTTTAGATCACATTTTATTACCAGAAGCTTAAAAGGATTGGCCAAATTATATTTTATGTGTTTGAAAATCTTTTTGCTGTATGGGTTTGTTTTTTTTTTTTTTTTTTTTTTGGTAATTGTATTTGTTTTAATGTAATTCAAGGAAAATATACTGAAGTGTATGTCAGATATGCATTTGATAAGGTAGCTTTTTGAAAGAAGGAGCACAAGGACATAACAGGAAAGGGACAGGAGTTTTGTAGAGTAGTCTTGTGCGGTGGATGTTGTCACACCAGTGGGGTGGGACAGTTGCTCAATGATTTGTTTCTGGCTGCTGCTCAGTGTGGTAACCTGGAAATGCCTCATTGAGTGGAGAACATGATGATGTCACCTGTTCACCTCACCACCTGAATACCTGAGTCCAAGATTTCAGAAACACAGGAACATTAAGAAATCAGATTTTGGACCCTTCCCTTTCCCGGCGTTTGTCTCGTTTGGTGGCTGATAGTGTAACCTGATAGGCATATGAGTAAAGTAAGGCTTTTGCACCCCCCGGCGCATTATGTGGGCAAGTAATAACATACTTTCAAAGATTTAGAAAAATTCACAAATCATAAGTGTACGTCTCAGTGGAGTTTTCACAGAGTGAACACACTCATAACCAACACCTAGATCAAGGAAGACACATTACTAAGCTTCCCAGGGGCCGCTCGTGCACACTCCCGGTCATTGTCCCCCAGAGCCAAGCGTGGCTTTGCCTTTGCCACCGATTACTTTGGCATGTTCTCGACTTCATTGAGTGAAATACAGTAACATGTGTATTTGGTTTCTGGATTCTTTCGTGCAGTGTTATGTCTGTGAGATCCAGCCACGTTGTCCCGAGCTCGTTCGTTCTCACCTGCTGTCTATGACCCAGCGTGTGAATGCATATACCGTAGTTTATTCTCTCTACTGTTCGCGCTGTCTGGCTTGTTTCTGGTTTCCGCAGATGATGCCCTGAATATCTTTGCTCGTTTTATTTGTTTGTTTTTTGGTGCAGATATGTATACATTTCTTTTGGATGTGCTGCGTGATAGAGTGCACATTTGGTCAGCCTTAGTAGACACTGCCCGAAGCGGCGGTGGTGACAGTTTGCACTGCCACCAGCAGGGTGTGAGCAGGCAGTCGTCCTCTGACGCCCGGCTCTGTCGGGACTCTCATTGTCGCTGTCTGGTGGTGATGAGTGGAGGGACACTCCCTGACGACCGGTCAGCATGCAGAGGCAGAGTTGCCCTGGTGTGTTTAGTGGCCATTTGGATCTCTTCTCTCGTGAGGTGATTGTCTTTTGCCCATTTTTTTGATTGGGTTATTTGTTTTGTTTCTCAGTGATTTGAAAGCATTCTTTTTACATATTGAGTACATATGTGTGTGTATGACAGATTTTCTTTTTCATTCTTGCGTGAGTGTGCCTTTGCACTCTTTCATTGGTGCCGTGATAAACGATTTTAAATTTTAATATCGCCCCATTAATACTCTCTGTTCACTGAAAGATAGCATGAAGTTCACGAAGATTCTATCCTGTAAAAGCTTCATTGTTTTATCTGTCACATTTAGATCTATAGATCTAAATCCATCTGAAATTGATTTTTGTTTATGGTGTGAGGTGGGGCCGAGATTCCCATTTTCTTCCCTTAAATTTGTGGATACCCATTTGACCCCCCCATAATCCATTAAAAAGACAGTCTTTTCCCCAGTGCACTGCAGTGTCACCTCTGTCCTAACTCAAGAGGCCGTGAGTGTGGGTCTCTTTCTGGACTCATCTCTGCACAACTACCACAGTGACTGAATGACCAGATTTAGTCACTCTCGATATCTGGTAATTTAAATCCTCCAGCTTTGCTGCTGTTCATGATTACCTGGCTAATCTTGATCTTTTATATTCTCAGGTAAATTTTAGGATCTGCTTGGCAATCTCTCCCCAGAAAAATGTGCTGTGATTTTAATTGAGATTGTGTTTAATCTGTAGACCAGTGTGGGGAGAAACGACATCTTTTTAGTATTGGTCTTATAATTCATGAACACAATATAGCTTTCCATTTATTTAGGTCTTCTTTAATTTGTCTTAACATTTTGCAGTTTTCTGTATATAAGTCTTACAAGCATTTAACTTATTCATAGATATTTGATAATTATGGATGCCGTTAAAAGTTATACCTTTATAGGTAAATTATGTCATTGTATATTAGTAGTACATGGAGATGGAATTGATTTTTGTGTATTCTCTTGCTAAATGTTTATTTCTAATAATAATTCTTGTATTTTCTATGTGTACAATTATGTCTGCAGGTAAGTTTCTTTTTTTTCCTTCTTTCCCAGTGCTATAACCATTTTTTTTCTTGCCTTATTGTCCTGGCTAGGATCTCCAGCACAGTGTTGCATAGAAGTGGTGAGAGCAGTATCCTTTGTTGTTTCCAATATCAGAAGAACTTTCAGTATTTCACCATTACAGATGATATTCGATGTACCTTTTTTGTAGATATTTTAATCAAAATATGACTGTTCTCGATTCTTAGTTTGCTCAGAGTTTTTTTGAAAATCAAATTAATATTAACTTTAAAAAATTTTTGATATTTTCAATTACAGGTGACATTCAGCATTATATTAGTTTTAGGTGTACAACTTAGTTATTAGATATTTATATAACTTATGTCTAGGACCCACTTGGCATCGTTCGTAGTTATAACAGCATCACTGACTGTCTTCCCTGGGCTGCACGTCGCATCCCCGTGACTGTTTTCTAACTGCCGGTTTGTTGTTGTTGTTGTTGTTGTTGTTGTTGTTTTTAGTTTGTGCTTCTTAATCCCTCACCTTTTTCTCCCATCCCCCAACCCTCTCCCATCTGGTAACCGTCAGCTTGTTCTCTGCATGTGTAAACTTTTCTTAAATGTATTTCTGCATTTGCAAAGACAATCAGGTGGTTTTTCTTTATTCGTGGTGAGTTAACTTCTTTTTTTAATTTGTGTTCTAGAATATGCCAATTGGATCTCAGTGTGTTCATCTTTCACTGTATTTTGGGGGGGTTAATATTTTGTTTGGGATTCTTGCATCTGTGTTACGAGAGAGGGTGGTCTGTAATTTTATTTTCTTGCGTTGTCCTTGTCGGGTTTGGTATCAGGGTTCTGCTGGTCTCATAAAACAAGGTGGGAAATGTTCCTTGTTTTTGCCCAGAAAGTTCTTCTGGGTCTGGTCTTATCTTAGATTTTTGGAAGAATTGCTTGGCAAAACCAACTAGTATAGAGTTTTCTTAATGAGAGGCTTTAATTTCAGATTCATTTTTTTTTTATGTGGAAATAGGATTTTTCTGATTTTCTATTTCCCCTCCCCCCCAGGAATTTGTTAAAGCCACCCAGACTTTCCAGTTAATATGTGTATGGTGGTTCATTATAGTCTTATTATTTGCAAAAGCTGTTGTAATATTCCCTTTAAATTTTTTTTATATTGGTAATTTGTGCTTCATCTTTTTTTCTTATCATTCTTGCTAGGGGGTTATCAATTTTATTAGTCTTTTTGAAGAATCAACTTTTGGCTTTATTGATTTTTTTCTATTTAAAATTTTGTAATTTTTGCTCTTATTTCTTGCATCTGTTTTGTTTGTTCTTTTTTCTCGTTTCTTGAGATAGATGCTTAATTGATTTTTATCCTTTTTTCTTTTCCAATACATGTGTCTAAGGCTGTAAGTTTTCCTCTAAGCACCCCTTTAGTGGTATCCCACAAGTTTGGATAAGCCACACTTTTCTTCTTTTAGGTAAAAATATTTAAAATTTCATCGTGGTTTTTTTTTTTATTCATAAAGTTTTTTAAAAGTATGTCACTTGTCAACATTTGGGGGGATCTTCTAGTTATCTTTGCTGATTTCTAGCTTAATTTCATGACGATACCTTAGTCTTTTTGGGCCGCTCTAACAAAATGCCATAGACTAGCTGTCTTATAA